CTCAGCCGTGACAGTTTTTAAAGGGAAAAAAGGGGGAAGAATCTCAGTGAATCATTGAGGCAGGAGGTTGGATTCTGCATCATTCTCCATTGTGTGCAGGCTGTCTGGTTCTCTTCACTGTTATCTTGCCCAGTGATCTGCCTGCAGGATTGCTATGGGGGATGTTGGGGGTAGGAGCTAGTTATTCTTTCCAGGAAAAGGATCAACAGGTTAGGCAAGGCATGGTGTGCATTCAGGAGAGCATAAGCCAGGAGTTAGGTTAAATTGCCTAGTGCTCTCATTCCTGTATTTAGGTTTTTGAAGGTTAGAGGCGGGGAGGAATGGGGCAAAAGAGCTGCTTTCACAGGTAGATAGTGTCAGAATTGAGTTGAATGGTAGGGCACTCAACTGGCACTGGAAAACTGCTTGTTGGTGTGGGGAAGCCTCTTGAATGTTGGAATTGGTCTCAGAATCATTACAAGTGAATCACACAACCACACTGAGATACAGGGGTGGGGAAGAAAGAACTTTCAGAAACAATGTTTTGACTGGGAACCATGAGGCTAAAGACAGAACTGGACACAAGCACTCTGATTAATTTGATTCTCACAGTGGTATGTAGCAGTTCTGAAATGATTTTATATGTGGACTAGGTTTGAATAAGCAAATTCATCCTAGATCATGAGTCACAAGCAGGTTTCTCAGTGTCAGAAGTTACCATAAGAAAATCTGGCTAGAATGAACCCTGTGAACTCTGGTACTAGAATGGAATCAAAATACGAAAAAAAGAATACACATTCATGCACACATGCAGTGAGGAGAGCCAGGAGGGCACATGTGGTGGTAACCAATGACTGTCGCGGTTTAAGGTGAAGCCCTCTTGTTTTATCAGAACTTGTCCTTTGGAAAAGCCGAGGTGGGTCTTCGCAGTTGATCGCAGCACCTCTCCTGTGTCGTCTTTTTACCATTCAGACATGCGAAAGCTTCTTGTCTTGAAGCGCTTTAAGGATGTTTCGAACAGTACTTTGTCAGCTGGAACGTAATGGAGAAGGATTGTGATCCACTCACATGAGTTTAGCAAAAGTTTCACCAGGACACTCAGCAGTCAGGTGTTCTTAACCTGTTTTTGTGCCATCTGTGGAAAGTAGACAGCAGTGCAGTCGAATTTTTAGACCTTTTCTCAAAATGTTTTAAAATGCATAAATTTAAATATATAGGATCACAGAGGAAATCAGTTACAATAAAAGTGTTAAAAATATTTTACATTGCGATATAGGACTATGTGCAGCAGTTTGAATAACTACTATAATTTTGAAGTAGTGATGAGCACCAACAGTATTTCAACTGTTATTTGATATAAAAATGTCTGTAATTTCTTTTAGTGACAGTCACAGATAACTCAGTACTACTGTAACTTGTTGCCTACATTCATAATCAAAGGGAATGCTACATTTCAGTTAGAGGTTCATGAAATAAAATATAGTTTTTCCCCCATCCAAGTTTGTGGACTTTGTTGTTCTGCCTTTAGGAGTCTGCAGACCCCAGATTTGATCATCAGGACTTCTAGGTGCAACAGAACTCTAGGCAGTTGAGTAGAAACAGATAAGACTCAAGCTTCGAAAAGTATTTGGCAAGACATAAATAACCATTATTCCATTCAAGTAGCAATTGCTGCTCTATACAAAAAAATGTGATGATGTGGTACAATGGCTTATAACTGTGGAAAATCATTCTGATGGAGTGGGCACCAAATCTGCAGAGGCTGAGGCTGAGGTCAACACTGAAGGGCAGGGGACAGTTGAAAATCATCGTGGAAACCTTGGGCTGAGCGGTTAAAGGCAAGGCAAGGAAACATCTCCTTTATTAAAAGCTGTCATGTTAAAAGGAAATTTTTTTTCTGCCAAAAAGGATAGGTGTTATCTTTCAATGCTTCGGTTAAAAATGGATTCCATTCATTTAGCGTATATAGCCACTGTGTTTTACGATAAGTATCTTCAATAATCTCCCCCTACACTTGTATACCACTTTTTAAAGTACATTTGCTTCTCTTATCTTGTGTCTAAAGTAATTGCTCTGTGTTGAACAGTCATCTACTTTGTCAGTAGCAACATTGAGACTAAGGGGGTCACAGTTGTGTCAGCAGGGGAAAATGGGTGTAGTGAGACCCACTGGCTTGTTTCTCAGTGCTGGGCATTCTGCTAAAGATAAACTTCGGTAGAAAGGTGATATATTGACAAAGAGACACAACGAATTCTGTAGTGAGTTTAGTGAAGTAAATCTCCCCTAGAAATAAGAAATGTGTGCAATGTATTGCAGCTTTTGAAATGTAATAGGCAAGTTTCATGAGCATTTTGTGGAGAAGATGGCCTGGCCCATTCTTTCATTCATTTGGATTCATATTGAGGGCCCCATCCAGCCACTGAGCAAAATCGCACCCACACTTAGTTGCATCCGTTCTCCCATTCTTCTTCCCTCTTTGTGCCTGCTGCTGTTGCTGATCACTCTTTCTCCTCCTGCTACTTGGCACCACTCCCCTGCACGTCCCCTCGCCTAGGCCCCTTCACATTTGCATTTCTTACCTCGCTTCTCCTTACCCTGCTTTTTCATTCATGTCATCTGTTTCATCAGGAAGAGGACAGTATCTCATGTCTCCCCCTTCCTTTTTTTAAAATATTTATTTATTTATTTTGGTTGCACAGGGTCTTAGTTGCGGCAGGTGGGCTCCTTAGTTGTGGCAGGCATGTGGGATCTAGTTCCCTGACCAGGGATCGAACCCAGGCCCCTGGCATTGGGAGCACGGAGTCTCATCCACTGCACCCCCACGGAAGCCCCCCCCACTTCCTTTTAACTAGTCCAAAGTTTTCATGTCCCAGCTCTGTCTTTTAATGAGAAAAAAATGTTCCATGCAACTTTGCCCTGAATTATCTGTCTCCTTATTCTCAAAACAAACTTAGCTAGAAAAATTGAGACAGACACTTTTTTTTTTCTGACTGGCCAGTGTTCCTTTTTCCCAGGTGAATCCAAAGCAGAATATATCTAAGACACAGAACTGCAAAGATTGACCGATATGTAGGGGAGATTAACAATGGTTTCAAATATGGTGACTCTTGCTTCTTTTTTTCTCTTTTTATCAATAAGCTTTTCAGTGTACACTCAAAACTATTGAGAAAATATATTGCAGCATATTACTACATTTGCTTTTTAATCTGCAAAGCTTGGCTTTGTTTCTTGCCTGTTCCATGCACTGTATCTTGTCCTAACTAGATCCTAAGCTTCTCAGAAGCTGGTGAACTTCATCCCTACATGTGCTCTTAGGCATTTGACAGATGCTCAGTGTATTCTGGGGTTTTTTTGGTGAATGAAAGGAAAACACTAGTTTTTTAAACAGCTTTATTGATATATAATTTACAGAGCAATATAATTCTCTATTTTTAAGAGTATAATACAATGGTTTTCAGTAAATATACAGAGGTGTGCAACCATCACCACAATCCAGTTTTGGAACATGTCCATCACCCCAAAAAGATCATTGTGCCCTTTTGCAGTCACTCCTCATTCTTACCCTGAGCTCCAGGCAACCACCACTCTACTTTGTGTTTCTATGGATTTGCCTGTTCTGGAAATTTCTTATAAATAGACTCATATAATATATGATCTTTAGTTGCTGGTTTCTTTCACTTGGCATGTTTTTGTTTTATGTTCAGGGAAAGACTAATTCCTCATTTGTTTCCCCTGTACTAGAATTCTACAGAATAATATTGGGAAGGTATAACAAGCATTCGAAATTGGATGGTCTCTTTTTTTCAACAAAATTGTAGCAAATCCTTTGCTGACTTGAAGGATTTGGGGCCCTGCGACAGGGGGACACACTAATGGCAGGAAGAGCTAGCCTTGCAGTTTAACTAAGTTACAACCATGACTCCTTCTGTTATGACCACCACGACTGTGTTCTTAGGGATCAGAGTAGAATTAGTCGTTACCGTTTGCTGAGCCCTTGCTGTAGGGTGGGTACCACACTAAACCCTTGTTGAGGATTGCTTCATTAATTGCTTTATTAATACAAAACTTTCCAAGGAAGGAAACTAAGACTGAGAGATTTTAACTGAGAGGTTAAAAACCACTTGCCCAAGATCACATAGTTAGTAAATATCAGACTGAAACTAGTTCTTTCAGGCTCCAGAGCCCATTTTCTTCTTAACCCGTATGCTCTCTTACTAATGAGAAGCTGAGAAAACAAAACTGGCCATGGAAACCAAAAAAGCACAGCTGCTTGCAGCCAGGCACGGTGGGGTGGGGCGCTCTGCTCCCTCAGTTGCCCCTGTGCCCTCACTCATTCCTGCCCCACGAGAATTCTCTTCACAGTGGGCAGTCAGTACTCTTAGAAGTCCGGTTTCCTTATCCAAGAAGTTAGAGAAATGTGACATTTTAAGAATGAGTTCCACCTCGAAAGTTCTGTTTCCTTGAAGGTAGGAGTTAATTATCTGGGAAATGTGTTTACTCAGAACAGCTCATTGCCGGATAAAGGAGATATATGTTAACAAACCAATTTGCGATTTTGGTTACAAGACAGTGAATCTTAAAATAATGTGCCAGGTTAATCTCCCTTATTATTATGATTTTTTATAAATTTATTTTATTTATTTTTGGCCGCGTTGGGTCCTTGCTGCAGTGTGCGGGCTTCTCATTGCGGTGGCTTCTCTTGTCGCAGAGCATGAGCTCTAGGGCGTGCGGGCTTCAGTAGTTGTGGCTCACGGGAAGAGCGCAGGCTCAGTAGTTGTGGCACATGGGCTCAGTTGCTCCACGGCCTGTGGATCTTCCCAGACCAGGGCTCGAACCCGTGTCCCCTGCGTTGCAGGCGGATTCTTAACCACTGCGCCACCAGGGAAGTCCCAATCTCCCTTATTTTGCTGAAAGAAGTTATAAGAATGGGTTATAAAGTTATTCCCAAAGAAACTGATGTTCCAGTACTTTTCTTCCCTTTTGTGTGTGTGTTCCTTATTCAATGGGGACTGTTCCTACAGCTTAGAAGAAACTTCCCAATTTGCCTGTCTTCCTGGAAAAATCCTCCTCATGTCCTAAAATCTTCCCAGTCAGAAGCTGGACTCAAAACAACAAATAAGGCACTACCCTATGCCCCTCTGCAAACATTTACAGATGACGAGATGATGATAAAGAGCACAGGTGAGTGAATTTCTCAATTTCACCACAGTATTCCTCTGGTCATTACTTGGGCCTGCAATGTGAGATCACATGACATGTGACATGATTGGGAGAGGTGTTCATCTAAGTTTGTGAATGGAATTTTTGACATTAATTAAAAAAATTTTTTTCGAAAAAAGTAATACATGTCATATTAATAAAATAAAGACTTAGCAGTTTTTTTTTTTCCCTACAGTTAAAAAATTTGCCCAGGAACAGATTGCTCCTTTGGTTTCAAAAATGGATGAAAATTCAAAAATGGAAAAATCAGTAATACGAGGATTATTTCAACAAGGGGTATATAATTAATGATTCTTCCAATTTTAAACTTTCATAAATACCTTCCAGTGTTAAAATGTATGCATACTTTTAAATTTAGGAATTGTAATGATAGCATAATTTCCTAATCAGAATTATCTGGGATCTCTTTTAGATTGAGATCCTAGTTAAAAATTTTTAATTGAATTAACATTTTAAATTAGAAATACTGTGCTTTTTAAGTAAAAGGCTAGAAGCAAGAGCGATTTCTTTAGACCAGAGGTATTCAACCGGGGGCTGTTTTTGTCCCCCAAAGGACATTTGGCAATGTCTAGAGACACTGGCAGTCGCAACTGGGTGTGCTGCTGGCATCTAGTGAGATAGAGGCTGGAGATGCTGCTAAATATTCCACAGTACACAGGACAGCCTGCCAAGACCGAATTATCCAGCTTAGTAATGCCAAGGTTAAGAAACCCTACTTTAAACTTCATACCAGCACATCTACCTGAATCCCTATGTATGTGGAAAACTTAAAAGCAAGAGGTGATATCTGAATTCCACATTAACCAAGGCAGCCGATTTCTAAGGGAGAGGTTATCAGCACGGGAGCCCCAAGGAGAACATTTCAGAGCCACTGCACTCTTCATCTCTCCCTTCTCTATAGGTGTGAAGATTTTGTATCTGGAATACCAAGGCTATCCCAGAACTAATAGCTCCTACCCAAAGCCATTGGCTTAAATCTTGTCCTGTTATCCTGTTTGAAAATTAGCCTTTTCCATGTAACTGTTTATTTCTTTTTTTAATAATTAATTAATTAATTTTTGGCTGCACTGGGTCTTCATTGCTGCGTGGGGGCTTTCTCTAGTTGCGGTGAGTGGGGGCTACTCTTCGTTGTGGTGCGCGGGCTTCTCATTGTGGTGCCTTCTCTTGCTGTGGAGCGCGGGCTTCAGTAGTTAATGGCTCACGGGCACTGGAGCGCAGCCTCAGTAGTTGTGGCGCACCGGCTTAGTTGCTCCGCGGCATGTCGGATCTTCCTGGACCAGGGCTCGAACCCGTGTCCCTTGCGTTGGCAGGCAGATTCTTAACCACTGCACCACCAGGGAAGGCCCCCTGTTTTATTTCTTACTGTTTAAAAGATACCAGCTTTTTTTTTTTTTTTACTACCAGGTATTGTAGTGATTTTTCCACCTTTCTTTTAGCAATGAAACTTGGGAAAATGGAATCTGATGTGGAGCCACAGTGGGTCAAACGGCATCTGTGAGTCCACTTCTCAGCCAGATTTCATCTTCATTGTTTGCAGAACCTCTAGGCTTCTCTGAGAAGTCTTGAGCGACACTCTCCCGAGGGGCAGTTCTTGCAGGCAGGGTCACACGCAGCGAGGAGTTGCCTGCCACCTCCACAGCTGCTCCTGTCTGCATGTCGTACCCTGTGGAGGGTCTGCGTTGCACATCCTGCACCAGCTATTCTCGGCCTCATGTGACTCCTAGCTTCTGTTGTCCCACTTCTATGAAGGTCACCTGCCATAATAACTGACAAATATTTCCAGTGTAGGGGAATTTGGTGACCTTTTTAGAGAAGCAGTGTCTCTGACAGCTGTTAAAGATATGATAGTCCGATATTCTCATGCTGGCCCCAGTCTTCAGGCACACCCCAATCCTTGAATTCTTCCTCATAGAACATCATTTCTGGTTCCCTCAGTCTTTCTATCATCCCCCATGTGGTTCTAACTTCATATCAGCTAAGTTTCCCATCAGCTTAGAATATAACAGCCACACCCAGGCTGCAGCGCGTGTGACTCTAGAGTGCCTGGAGAGGATAGAAAGAAGCATTGCCCTTTTACCTGTTCACAGCTTTGGGTCTTGAATTACGTGTGCACACATTCTCCTTCTGAAATGAGGACACTTAAAAATGGAGTGTTACGGATGTTTCATGTTCCAGACTTAGGACTGGTTACTGAACAGTCAGGCAGTTACTGGAAAGCCTTGACCAGTATTTGGCCATGTTTACCGGGCACCTGGGCCTTGTCTAGTGTGGTTCTAGGAAACACCACCACATGTGGTCTGCTAACCATCTGGACTTGCTAAAATGGCCCAAAAGGAATGGTCATTCAATTATTATCTCTGCTGAAAGAGTCAAGGTGGGGGCCTGACTCGAAGAGATTATGCTAAATGAAACTAGGTATTCCACTACTGTCTTCAGTTTCTTAATTATATACTTTCTATTCCATTCCAGTATGCTTCAAAGCATTTTACCTCTCTTATTTTTGTTTTTTAGATCCCAAAAGGAAACAAATGATAGTTCTAGCTTGTAATTTTATCCTTTGCAAATATATTTAGTTTCTGTTATAGATTTTTTTGTTACTTAGAGTGAAAGAGCCATACCAAATTAAAGAAAGATATACATACAGAATTTTAAAATTAAGCTGATGTGGTTACAAATTATTTTTGAACTTGTTCTTGCAAGGAATTGTCCCATATAAAAAGAGCTTTCTTAATCTATGTTTCCTTATTTTTCCTTTAGTTGATGGGTATTGAAATTGACACCAAATATGGAGGAACAGGAGCTTCATTTTTTTCCTCTATCCTGGTGATAGAGGAATTAGCCAAAGTTGATGCGTCTGTGGCTCTGGTATGTGACATCCAGAACACGATAATTAACAGGCTAATTGGAAAATATGGAACAGAAGAACAGAAGGCTATCTATTTGCCCAAGCTAGCTACAGAACAAGTGAGTTGAGATGAGTTATTGAAATGGATCTGATCTTTTCTAAATATAGGATATTTTCAGCCGCAGTGTTGGCTTTTCTATTCAGGACCACAACACAGCACCATTAATAACTCAAGCAATGCTCAATAAATTAATGCTACTAGAAAAATACAATCTGACTCTCATTTACCACTTGGAAATGTAGGGAATTATCATTGGACAATAAAATTATTTCTTTTTTGGTCCCAATTATATTGTCTAATACCTTTGTTGGTAGTTTCATTTACATTGAGATGTCTTTCTCCTGTAATTATGAAAACCAATTTAATTAAGCTTAACATTGAATATGTGTGCTTAGGTCTTTAAATCTGCCTTAGACAAATAGTGGGGTATAGTTTGGAAAATAATACTGTCAGAATACCATTACTATTTTGATACATACAGGCTTTTAGAAGTAGCTAAAAGTTTGATTTTCAAATGTTTATTTTGGTATAAGTGGGTATTTGTTATGCAAAGTATAAATATAGGTATTAATTTGGAATTTTTTCTTTGCATGTGTAGATGGGAAGTTTCTGCCTTTCAGAGGCTGGAGCAGGTAGCGATTCATTTGCTTTGAAGACCAAAGCTGATAAAAAGGGAAATTATTATGTCATCAACGGGTCAAAGATGTGGATTAGCAATGCCAAGGATGCCGGGCTCTTCGTGGTGATGGCAAATGTAGACCTTACTCTTGTAAGTTTGAAAACAAAGCTGCTCCCCGTTTCCCTCCTAATCTTTTCATTTCTTTTTTCCTACTTCCATTTCGTTTTTAGGACATAGTCTTAAATTCTTCATTCTCCTCAGTACTGAAAAGTTTAAACAACTGACATCTTTTCATCCTCTGGTTTACTAATATCCTAAAATAAATATTACAATTAACATGAATAAACATTAGCTACAAGGAGGACCATTTAATTAATCTCCTAAGCTGTTATATAGGAGGCTAATCTTAAATTTTGTAGAATTTCAGATTTTCTATTTAATAATGAAGAATTTACCTATTTAATAGTACATTTATTTTTAAAAATGTTTTATTCAGTTGGAAAATAGACATATAGCAAAATGATAAAGATATCTTGTGTTTTTTGTCTAGTGTAGCATTTAATTGAATTAAATTTTAAAACTAAAATATGTAATAAAATTAAATTTAAAATGTGGAATTCATCCTGTAATACTTTAGTGTCACTTAATAATTTTAATAGCCACAATGGTTTCTGAAAGAGTAAAATAAATAGTAAGGTTCTTGATTTTGAACCTAATGCCCTCCCATACTTCTCGTTTCATAATACACATGTTGCAATTCTGAGTCCATTAGTATTTACTGCTAAAGTCTGTTTTGCTTTGTTTTTTGGTTTTTTTGCTGCACTGGGTCTTTGTCGCTGCACGCGGGCTTTCTCTAGTTGCAGCAAGCGGGGGCTACTGTTTGTTGTGGTGAGTGGGCTTCTCATTGCGGTGGCTTCTCTTGTTGCGGAGCCTGGGCTCTAGGCGCGTGGGCTTCAGTAGTTGCAGCACGCGGGCTCAGTAGTTGCGGCTCACGGGCTCTAGAGCGTGGGCTCGGTAGTTGTGGTGTATGGGCTTAGTTGCTCTGTGGCATGTGGGATCTTCCCAGACCAGGGCTCGAACCCATGTCCCCTGCATTGACAGGTGGATTCTTAAGCACTGGACTACCAGGGAAGTCCCTAAGGTTTGTATTTCGTTTTCTGTTTACTTTGAACTCTGGAAACAAGGGATCTCATCAGTCAAAGTGATTATAGCATTTTAAATCTTCATTTCAGGGGTATAAAGGAATTACCTGCTTCTTGGTAGATCGTGATACTGAGGGCCTTCATATAGGGAAACCAGAGAACAAAATGGGAATCAGAGCTTCTTCTACCTGCCCATTAACGTTTGAGAATGTCAAGGTGGGTATCCTAGATGTGGAATGGCTTTGCCTGGAAGTATAACTGTGCGAGAAAGGCATCGCACTATTAGGCGTGCATAGGAGGGTACTTTGTAAAACTCTTGAATGATGATCTTAGGTTAGGTTATGACCTAAATGTACTTCCCACGAGAGTTTAGGCCAGAGGTGGAAACCTGTCTGCCCAGCAGCTGGCCTCAAGAGCCAGCCCGAGGATTAATCTCATTTATACTTCATAAACCTGGTACTTGCGCATCACACATAGCTTCCGAGGAGTGTGGTGTCGGCCCAGCAAGGCCACAAGATGGGGGTGTTGCTCAGTGAGAGTGGAAAACAGCCAGGCAGCGCCCACAGTTTAGAGTTGAGTCTTAAAAAAAACGAGGAAAAGATAACTAGAATGCTGTGCTTTAGAACTTTACATAGGTCGGACAGGATGTGACCTTTTGGCTCACTGGTGATTGTGTGTGTGCCTATGGGGTGTCCTTATGGATGTTGTGTGAGCCTCACTACTGCACCCCAACTGTCTTTCTTCTCCTAATTTCCCTTTTCTTTCTCCATTCTGCCCACTCTCTCTCCTAACTGCCCATATTAAGAAGCTAAGTGTATTTTCTAAAATTACCTAGTCTAGATCTTTTTTCAAGTAAACGGTTGAATAGTTTTATGTATTTCTTCTCTCCTCCTTTCTGTTTGGTACACATGCCTGTGTACACACACACACACACACACACACACACACACCAGCTGATTTTTGTTGTGATAATAGTCTCAACAGAAGAAAGGTTTCTACCCTTATATGTTTTCTGCTATTCCTAATATTTTATCTTACATTGTAGCATACAGATAAGAGTTCAGGGAAAATTGTTACTCATTTATGTTATTGATTAATTGTATGAGATTTCATTTTTCTAGATTCACCGAACGTCTCTGCTGGGCTCTGGAGGATGCAATAGTGAACAGCATGGACTTGAGTCCTATCCTTCTGAGAGCATGTGGGAAACAGTTTAGAGGGAGACAGAGACATAGCAGATAATTTCCTTGGAGTTTAATAAGTACCATGCTAGAGAATTATCACAGAAATTGGGAGTATATGTGCATTAAAAAATATATTACCAAAATGAATTATGTTAAATTAAATTGAGAAATAACTGCACGTTTTTCTTTTCAGGTTCCAGAAGCCAATATCCTGGGACAAATTGGACGTGGCTATAAGTACGCCATCGGGGGTCTTAATGAAAGTAGAATAGGAATTGCTGCACAGGTGAGTCAAATTTTAGTCCTTTAACTTGACTCTTCCACACACAGTCAAAATGTAAAAAGAAAAAATGCAGTGAAACCAATGAGTATTTGGAAGCTTGTGAACACAAGATGGCACCCTTCCCTTCCATGAGGTAAAAGAATAGCTTCTGGCTGTGATTTCTTTAAGATTCCACTTTGGTCAATTATATCATGTCCTGAGAACCAAACAACGGCTTAGTGGTAACAGTTTTTCTGCTTTGAGAGCGTTAAAGTATTATCTAATACCTGGATCGATAACTTCTTAAGTACATTATAGATTAAATGTGGTATTTTTTTAAATCAACTTTTCAAAGTATGTGATTCATTCTGAAATTTTAAAAATTAAGAATAAGTAACATTCTATTGTGTAGTAAGAGTCTCTATAGATAATAAAAGATTTGTTGCTTAGTGTTTTGCATGTGAAAATCAGACAATTTTTTTGATATGGCACTTAAAATGGCAACAATTAAACAGATACGTATGATGAAAACTATTCAATTTCTTACCAAATATGCCCTTATAGCATATTAAATTTTTCTGTTTGGTGATAGCAGTTATTTTCTAGAATCACAAAATGAATAAAGTCTTTGGTTTTATTATGAATTATTTCATTTTTGTAACGTATTTATTTTTAATCAGTGAGTATCCAAAATTCAAAAACTTACAGCTTTTAGATTTTGAAGATGTTGCATATATTAGCTCTTTGGAGTATTTCAATTGTAATTGTACTCTAGTTTTGTTTTTTTTTTTTGCTGCTGCTGTTAATTTGCTAACAAAGTATTCTCAGATCAGAACTTAACCCATGTTTCCCACAAAACTAGATAATCTTTTTAAAGTTTTTCTGTGATTCAACTTCATCAGATATGACATTAAAAACTACAACACTGGATTTCCTTATTCCCAGACCTGTAAATAATGTAGATGTCTGGCAGTAAATGCACAGCCTGGGCTTTAGTCTAATTACTCCAAGTTATCTTATAACCTAGTTAAAAGTTAAGGTCAGAAAAAAAGAGAGAAAAAGGTAAGGTCTGGTAGTTATTATTCCTTGGTTAATACTGTGGATGCTTTTTGGAGAAAGAGGCACATGTAACAGTGAACTGGAGGCATCCAACATCAAGACTCTGTAGTTGTAAAGAATTTAGTTTTTCAGTATTTATAGTGAAAACATTTTACACTGTTTTGGAAAAGCCTGTTTTGATTGACAACTGATAATAACGGTTTTTGTGTCGATATACCATATTGTTGGCATATTGTAAACTTTAGTTATAAAGGTTTAATGACATCATCTTCTCTCATAGCCAAAAGAGCAGTGAGTCGCTGTCTCACCTTAATTTACTTTTGGGGTTTTGTTTTGGTTTGGTTTGGGTTTTGTCCTTTAATTTTTAGCGTAATATTCCATTCTTCAGAAAGTTCAAAATAAAAGGCTAAAGGAAAATTTGAATGAACACTAATGAAATATTGATAAGTTTGTGGGCATTTCCCCCAAAAGCTTTAACTATTGATTTTTCTTTTCCTTTTTCTAAAACCTACATGGTTTGGCATAATTAGATAGTGATTTTTTTTATTAGTTATCTATTTTATACATATTAGTATATACATGTCAATCCCAATCTCCCAATTCAAGCCACCACCACCCTCCCCTTTCCACCCTTATTCCGACCCTTATTGTCCTTACGTTTGTTCTCTACATACATCTGTGTCTCTGTTTCTGCCTTGCAAACCAGTTCATCGGTACTATTTTTCTAGATTCCACATATATGTGTTAATGTACAATATTTGTTTTTCTCTTTCTGACTTACTTCACTCTGTATGACAGTCTCTAGGTCCATCCACCTCTCTACAAATGACCCAATTTCGTTCCTTTTTATGGCTGAGTAATATTCCATTATATCTATGTACCACAACTTCTTTATCCATTCGTCTGTCGATGGGCATTTAGGTTGCTTCCATGACCTGGCTATTGTAAGTAGTGCTGCAATGAACATGGGGTGCATGTGTCTTTTTGAATTATGGTTTTCTCTGGGTATATGCCCAGGAGTGGGATTACTGGGTCATATGGTAATTCTATTTTTAGTTTTTTAAGGAACATCCCTACTGTTCTCCATAGCGGCTGTATCAATTTACATTCCCACCAACTGTGCAGGAGGGCTCCCTCTCCAGCATTTATTGTTTGTAGATTTTCTGATGATGCCCATTCCAACCAGTGTGAGGTGACCCCTCATTGTAGTTTTGATTTGCATTAGTGATGTTGAGCAGCTTTTCATGTGCCTCTTGGCCATCTGTAATTAGATAGTGATTTAATGGCTACCTAATGTTAGAATTTAGAAACAATTTCTAAGGTTGAGTCATTCAGTTGTTACGGAGATTAGTTTGCAATGAGACAGTCCAGCTAAAACTGTCACCACATCCTGATTAGTTCTTGAAATGTATAAACTGATGTTTTTACCAGCTCCTCTGTGCAGTTATCCTCAACTCTAGCTGTGCATTAAAACATTCAAGAGTTTTTAGAATGCTGGTGTTTAGGCCACACTCACCACCCCCCCGCCACCACCCCCATTATTGAGCTCCCCGAGATGATTCTCATGTGCTGCCAGGGTTGAGAAACCCCTGCTCTTTTATGTTCTGATGCCCTACCCACCAAAGCTCTCGTTAATCCTGATCATATACAAAAGACCAGAAGTGACCTTGCACATCTGACTTCTAGAAGGACTAGAGGCAGCTACTCTACAGTCTTTGAGGCCAGTCTTTGAGCAAAATTTCTGAGGCTCACTTTGTGCCTGGAGACTCAAGCCTAAGGGAGAAGAATCCCAAAAAGTAACCTGGGTGCATGAGCACAGCCACACCAGGAGATTTGTGCTCTTCTTCACAGGAAATTACTCACATTTTCTCCCAGGGCTTCCCCAGTGGCGCAGTGGTTGAGAGTCCACCTGCCAAAGCAGGGGACACGGGTTCGTGCCCTGGTCCGGGAAGATCCCACATGCCGCGGAGCGGCTGGGCCCGTGAGCCATGGCCGCTGAGCCTGTGCGTCCGGAGCCTGTGCTCCGCAACGGGAGAGGCCACAACAGTGAGAGGCCTGCCTACCGCAAAAAAAAAAAAAAGAAAATTTTCTCCCAATTACTAGAACTTAAGTTCTATAAATACAGTGGATGAAGGTCATTAACATTAGACCTCACCATCTCGGTATCTCTAGTCCTTTCCCTACCCCAACTTTTCAATTTGCCTGTAAAAAGCATTCATAACTTGAATAACTTCATAACTTCATAACTTGAATAATTAAGAGCATAAACTTATAAAAAATAAGAAATTCTGATTTTTTTTTTTTTAACAGATGCTGGGACTGGCTCAAGGATGTTTTGACCACACTATTCCATATATTAAAGAAAGGGAACAATTTGGCAAAAGAATATTTGATTTTCAGGTATATAATTATTACCATCTTTCTACAGTGCTGTGCCCTCCCTCTTCCCATTAATGAAGAGCTTCGTTACAAAGCTGTAAGGGAATCCCCTTGGGGATTTTAATGGGAGAGGCACAGAGAGGAAGGAATAGATCTTGGTGCATATACTTGTGCCTACCTTGACCTTCTCCAAGGGCAGAGCAGTAATCCTTGAGGCCTGGCTATGGCATGATTCAGGATACCTTGGTGAGCACTTGGGAGCTGCCTCCTCACTGCTTCAGAGTTCCAGGGCATGGCGTCTGTAGTCAGACTTCCTGGGTTCAAATCCTGGTTCTTTGTCTTACTATTACTAGCTTTAGTTACCTCACCTCTCCAAACCTCAACTGCCTCATCTGTAAAATAAAGATAACACTCTGTACCGTCTAGGGTGATTCAGAATCAGGTAAATGTTTCAAGTGTTTGACACATTATTAAAAATAAGTCAAATTTTTAAACCTAATTTTGTGATCATTTATTTTTTAAATCTTGGCAGTTAACAATTACCTGAACTTTGAAATTTTTTAAAGAAGCAATACACGTAGTGGTTTATTTTATTATTTATTTATTTATTCATTCATTCACTCATTTATTGTGGCTGCGCGGGGTCTTCGTTGCGGCGCGCCAGCTCAGAAGTTGCGGCATGTGGGATCTTAGTTCCCCGACCAGGGATCGAACCCGGGCCCCCTGCGTTGGGAGCACAGAGTCTTAACCTCTGGACCGCCAGGGAGGTCCCCGTAGTGGCTTATTTTAGATTGCAGATTTTAAACTATTCTTGCGAAATGAATGTGAATTTTTGGACGGGTATATTTTGAATCTGTCAGTGTTCCACATCCAGGCAGGACTTTGACAATGAGCTGTTTTCGGAAATCACAGTTCTCTACCTTGGGCCTGAATGTTACAGGGGCTCCAGCACCAAGTGGCTCACATGGCCACCCAGCTAGAAGCTGCAAGATTACTCACATACAACGCTGCAAGGCTTTTAGAAGCTGGAAGGCCATTCATTAAAGAATCATCTATGGCCAAGTACTATGCATCAGAGGTAAAAGAAAAAAAAGTCTTTTTATTTTTTAAAGATATTTATTTATTAACCTCTTCATTTAGAAATGTTGGTTACGCATTTGTTTCTCAAGTAAAATAACATGAACTTTCTAGTTTCTACACCAGAAATGCAAAAAAGTAAAGCTGCCATAGGGAGGTGCTTTGATTCTGTGAGGTCTCCATGTTTTCATAGGCTCTTAGGTGGAAACCGAGGCACCCAGTTCAGGTAGAAGGCCCACCGTAAATCCCTGGATGAGCCTCAGCTGAACGATGGTTGGGACGAAGTGAATGCCCTGGAGATAATGTGAAATAAGAATGCCCAAGAAGGGACTGTCCATGTGTTGATGCTTCCCGCTCATGCATATGCATTCTACATGTAACACACTGGACTTTGGTGGAAACTTAGCCTCATCACTGGGCTGCTCTCTCCCAGCTTCGGCAGTATGTCTTAGTCATTCCCTGGCTTCAAATATTTATTTAACATCTTCAGCCCCCAGATTTAATCTTCTGCCTCAGCCTCCCTTCTGAGTTCCAGACTAATAGATCCCGCTTCTGCTTTACCTACCCACCTCCCCCCGACCCCAGCCGCAAACCTGAGTCCACTTGACACCCTCCTTTCCCTCATCCCCCAGTTGAATCCATCCTCAGTTTTGAGGATTCAACCCCCTAAATATTTCTTTTTTTTTTTGCGGTACACGGGCCTCTCACTGTTGTGGACTCTCCTGTTGCGGAGCACAGGTTCCGGACGCGCAGGCTCAGTGGCCATGGCTCACGGGCCCAGCTGCTCCATGGCATGTGGGATATTCCCTGACCGGGGCACAAACCCGTGTCCCCTGCATCGGCAGGCGGACTCTCAACCACTGCGCCACCAGGGAAGCCCCCTAAATATTTCTTGAATTTGTTTTTTTCTCCCTTCGTACTGCCACCTGTCTAGTCCAAGCTGTGCCGTTTCTTTATCAAGCCACTGGAGTCACCTTCTAACCTCTTGTTTTCCCCTGTTGCTTTCTTCCATCCAGTGTCCCTTTTCAAGGTGTCCATGAGGCCGTGCCACGCTCCAGCTTTAAACCCTTCAGTGGCTCCTCACAACAAATGGGACCTTTTTATTTGTTTCCTATTGCTACTTTTAACAAATTACCAAAAATTTAGTGGCCTAAGACAGTACAATTCTATTATGTCACAGCTCTGGAGGTGAGACGTCTGAAATGAGTCTCACTGGGATAAAATTAACGTGTCAGCAGAGCTGCCTTTCTGGAGGCTCTAGGGGAGAATCCATTTTCTTTTCTTTTCCAGCTTCTAGAGCCAACTCTGTTTCTTGGACTCATAGCCCCTCCCTCCGTCTTCAGAGCCAACAGTGTAGGGTGTTCAGATCTGACTGCTTTCTGTTTCCGTGGTTACATCGTCTTCTCTGCCTCCCTCTTTCCTTTATAAGGACCCTTGGGATTACATGAGACTGGCCCAGATAGTCTGGGATCATCACCCCATCTCAAGGTTCTTAACTTAATCACACCTGCAAGTCTCTATGCCATGTAGGTGGTGAACATTTACACTTTCTGGGGATTCTCCTGTGGACATCTTTGGGGGCCAGTACGTTATTCAAACTGCTCACCATCACGTGCGGCCCGCCTGCCCCCCATTCCGTTTTTACAGGTCACCCCGATCCCAGCCCATTGGTTCTCAGGCCCTTGAGGCTGACGAACCCATTTTCCCCTTGGAGCCTTTCCACGTGTCATTCCTCAGCTTGAAATGTCCCCTAACTCATCCTTTAGTTCTCAGCGAGGCTGTAATTTCCTCACCTATCCTCCATCTAAGTCATGGCAGCTTCCCTAGCAGGCTCTTCTCTTGCCCCATACAGTTTTTCAGTTTCGGTGATTGCTATTCAATCTCTGTCTCTCTGAATGACCAGCAGGACCAAAAGGGCAGTGAGTGACTGGCCACCCCTCACCATTGTGGCTGGCAGAGTGGGTGACATAAGAAGGCCCTTGATTAACATTTGCTGAGTAAATGATACCTGTCGACAAGTATGAGTCTAAACAAATACCCTAATTTTCTTAAGAAAATAAGAATTTTGTGAACTAATAGGATATTTTACATAAATGGTATGTATAGAGAATGGGACTAAGGAGAAATGCTAATTTATAAAATGACTTCAATCCTTCCAACTGCCAATGACAGTGAATCCACGTTACTAGGAATATTCTACAAGAGCGTTTGTAATGCATAAGTTACGTGGCTTCAGCATGTGATTTGCTGCTGCTTTTTGGTAGATTGCGGGCCTAATAACTGGCAAATGTATCGAGTGGATGGGAGGAGTAGGCTACACCAAAAACTACCCCGTGGAAAAATACTTCCGAGATGCGAAGATTGGTAAACAGAGTTTTTACATTTATTTTGTTTTGACTTTGTAGGTGTTTTAGGCTGTTGTATCTGTTTGATTTTTTTAACTACTGGTACGTAGGCAAAGGCAATTTTAATCTCTTCAGTTATTATGTTTATTGGCTCTCCTTTTCTTGTGGCTGGGTTGTTTTCCCCTACTTCTTCCTTCAAAAAAATAGATTTTTATATATATATTTTTAAAACATCAAATTTCCTTTTTAAATGCCCCAAGGCCTCTGAAGGCCTTTCAGTGAAACCACAACAAAATCTACTGTCTTAATTTTTTTTTTACTAACAATGTTAATATTTTCTATTAGTTTAATGCTGTTGCTTGAAGCTCAGTTCTAGTTTTAGACACTAAGTGCCTACCCAAGCCTGAGCATTCCGCTGCTCCACTGCCAGATGGGAAAATAGAAACAGCAGTTATGAAAGCTGCCTGTTCCTGAGGAATCATCCAGGCTCGTGTGTTGATAGTTTAGGAACAAAAAACTTCCAGCTGTTTAATACTGATTCTGGAAATCTGTAAACCAAATAGAAAATTGTTATCTCTTAGGCAGAATTACCTTGTCAAATAGTACCATATTCAGGGGACATTGGACAGTATTCCTGGTAAAGTTTTACAGTAAATGCAGAGGTAATGTTTGCAGAGCTGTTTCTTGTATAGACTCTTAACCACATCTCCACTCCTAATTGTTCCTTTTCTCCCCTTTGTTTAAGGTACAATATATGAAGGAACTTCAAATATGCAGCTGAACACCATTGCAAAGCGCATAGATTCAGAATACTGACAGCCACGGGAGTAGGACCCCTCCCTGGTGTCACTGGTGTAAAATTTTAAACTATTGTGCCTTGTTGGGGGCTGCATTGAATGATTTTATTTAGGCCCTTCACCTTGGATCTGGAGGTAGACCTTTCCTGTCTCCTCTTTCCAATCTGCTTAACTTAGGTGCAGAAAATCATTTTTAAATTTTGGGAAGAAATGCATCCATGTTTTCTCCAAAACTATTTTTAAAACTCTATGTGCATTATCATTTTAGCTTCAGGGTATACAGAATTTCACTCTATTGGAATTTGGAGAAATAAAGACAATGTAAGTATTTCTTGCAGACATGGGTATTTTATATCCCTGTCATTGTGCATCTGTCAGAGAGACGTTTGTGATAGTTGGCAATTCTGTAGAAGAAATAGATTCGATTCTAAGTTGCTAAACTAGGTAGCAACTGATAAAAATTTATTTAGAAAAATCTAAAAGTTTTAGTTCTGAATATCTGAAAATGAGTGGAAAATGGAGGGTATAACTCTGTAGTTTATATAATCAAAGAAAGCATTTCAACAAAGGAAAGCAATATAATTTGCTACTATAATTGACCAGTATGAAAGGTGCATTTCACTATGGTTTCAGTAGATCTTTTTTTTTTTTTTTTTTTTGCGGTACGTGGGCCTCTCACTGTTGTGTGGCCTCTCCTGTTGCAGAGCACAGGCTCCGGACGCGCAGGCTCAGCGGCCATGGCTCACGGGCCCAGCCGCTCCGCGGCATGTGGGATCTTCCCGGACCAGGGCACGAACCCGTGTCCCCTGCATCGGCAGGCGGACTCTCAACCACTGTGCCACCAGGGAAGCCCCAGTAGATCATTTTAAAAACAAGTCTCTACATTAGTTTTCAAGTATGAAATTTAAATAATTTTGTTTAATAATTAGAATATACTCAATATTGTAATCTTTATTTTTTTCTGTCTTTAAATTGAATACTGTTTTCTCAAACTTAGTTATTGAGCTTTATCATGAATAGTAATTCAGAAATTATATTTTGGTTCAGTGATTCTCAAGAGGAGATGTCTTGTCCCCATAAAGAAGTGTATTAAAATCTTGTAAGGAATGAGGGATAGAAGGGAGCTGTAGAGTTCAAAAAGCATATTTGGTAATATAAAAAATGACATTTCTGGGAAGGCAAAAATAAATCTGTTGTTTTACAGTCAAATTATGGAAAGGCAAAGCTCAACATAATATACGGCTGGCGATGCCATTTCTTCAGTATCAGGGATTCTCAATCAGAGAGACCTTGTAGGGTACAGGTCCTCAGTCCCCTCAGGAGGGAGGAGGACAGTGAAAGGTGAGTGTTTTATATTTTCTGGAAGGGGGCATGGGTTAGAGATGTTGGAAAATGTTTCAAGGCTCATACAGTTGCTTAAAGTAATCACTGCTGTCAAAAGGGAAGCACTTCAGTACTTTAATGAAAGGATAATGCTTATTAAGAAAACTTGACATTTTCAAAGTAATTTTGCTTTGCGCGTTCATGTTCATTGAATTGGGTTAATTTCTATAATGGATACCATAGTTAAATATTCAGAATTGTGTAAATACAATTGAGATAGGAATTACATTAAAATATTAGGAAGAAATACGGACAAATTTAGACCTTAGGTCAAAAGAGATAAAGTCTACTTGATTTTCAGATAGGGCCGATGGAAGCCAGTCATTCAGTGTTTTCGAACAAAAAGACAGTAATCCGATAAGGAAAGCAGGGGATGGAGGAAATGCCCTAAAGGGGGGCTTGGACATCTTTAATTTCTGTGATTATGTGAGAGAGGTGGACTTTTCAGGTAACGGAATAGAAGCCAACGGTTAGCAAAAAGAAGCCCAGCTTCCTCCTGTAGAGTTACAAACACGTGAAACTACAATAAGCCTCTTTCAGATTCGCAGCATGAGAGAGGCTCCCGTGTGCATCTAGACCTTGAATTTATAGTTCACACTGATACAGTGCTAATTGTGTGTATATTTTTTGTGCAGGTTCACAAATAACAGTTGAAAATTAATTATGTACTGTAATTAATATCTGTACCTGCCTTCTTCTATTACTGAATTGTGTTATTGTACCGTTTACCAAAGAGGATGTTGTGGGTTGTCCCCATAGTTCTTCCATTATAGCTTCTCTTAATAACCATGACTTTGGGGGTCTTGAGTTTGTGTCTAGTGGAGGACGAGCTTGTTTACCTCCTGAAGCCTGTCATTACTGTTTGTTAATTTGAGGATAGGGCTGTCATGGGGCTCAGAAGGAAGAGACTTGAACACAAGCAACACGTCGTATTTGTGTGGCAGAGCTGGGCTCAGCCCAACTGCCAAGGTAGTATTGTTAGACATTTCACTTTACAACACAAAAATGAATCGGTGTCAAAGATCTTAGAATTATGGAAAGCTAAATCTAGAAAGAGTTCAGAGAACCATCCAGCCAACTCTCTCATTTAAGAGTGAAGGATTCATATAGCCCAGAATACTTGCCCAAGGTCATCCATCCATCCAGGGCCAAAGATAAGACAAGGATCCAGATGTACCAGGTCCCAATTCAGTGCTCTTCCTACTGTTTACTGCTGTCTCTGTTCAACAAATTTTGGATTTCATCCTTGTTATGTTTCAATACTCTATTGACTTATTTTAGGTTTAACTGATAAAGAATTAACATTTCAGAAGTGTTAAGATTGATCAGTGTCGTTACTTACATACATTAATCACCTGCCAAACACACTGGCTCTCCTGGGATGTAGCTGGTGTGTCACATGTAAAGATTATTGTGTGTGATCACTTGGTTTTATGCTTATGATGTGTTTTAGTAAATGCACTAGTTATATCCTTGCTGACGTATTTTTGCTGATCTTTCATAAAGTGAAACTTTTGTTGTAATGGTACGTATCAGACTAATCAGTGTTACAAAATCAGTATTCTATGGAGAATGAAAAAATAAAGCACTAACGGGAGACTTTTGCTACTCTAATAAAGCAAAATTGTTTGTTATACATACAGAAGAAGTAAGAAAATAATGTAACCTTCCTGCAAGTTAGACACAACACCTCTGTTTACCAAGCTGATAGCTTGACTCTCATGTAAACCAATTTTGTTTGTTTTCAGGGAATATAATTTAATTTAATTATATTTATTTAATTTAATTAATTTAATTTAATTTAATTTAAATATAATTTAAAGTTATAATTTAACTTTAAATTCTTGATGCTAAATAAAATTTTACCAGAGGGACTCCCTTTTTATAAAAAACAAAATAAGCAGCTCTTCAATAGAGAGGTCACCTCTTCTGAGCACATCTTCACAGTATAGCTCTTATCTAGATATTTATGCCCATGTTTATAGTAGTACTTCTGGAAATTTTATATCGTTGAACCTTTTACTCAGTAATATGCTATTGTCTCACCTTATAGGAGATTTCAGCCTATCTGTTCCCCATTATTTCCTACATTATTTTAGAAATCTAGATGTTAGTCCCTGTTTTCATTTGTCATTCAGTGACCTGTGCCGAGCAGTCGCTGTGACCAGGGGCCCAAGGTGCTATGGACTCCAAGCTGCCATGCAAAGATGAGTAAGACCAGATTCTTATCGAAATGTATTTATGTCAGGTGTCTTTCTTCTGTTCTCATTGGTGTATCCTCACACATAGAAAACCACCAAGGCCAACCCTATGCAAAAGTATTTCTTTAGATCTGTTAGAATGATAAAAATAGCGCTAAGCTCTCTTGAGCTCTTATTATGTGCCAGCCATTATTCTATGCTCTTGACACATAGTAACTCACAGCCCTATAGAGTAGGTGCTCTTGTTAGCCTATTGTAAAGGCAAGGAGACTGAGGCATGAAGAGGGAAATAAATTGCTTATTGATACATGACAGAAGTGATTCAAACTTGGGCAGTCTGGCTGCTGAAGGCCCTCCCAGATTCATTCCTTTGGGTCTTTAAGGTTTGTTAATTTTCAGGAGTCTTCTGGTAAAATGCCACTGCCAACTAGCCCTTTAGTTGTTTCAGATCTTTTCAAGCAGAGAAGCTAGCTGAGAACATGGCCTGTAAAAGAAATGAATAGGTGTGATGGGATCATCTGTGTTCTCAGAGAAAGAACGGGAGAGTAGGTGGATAGGGCAGTAGGAAGATGCAGTAGAGCAGGGGTCCCCAACCCCTGGGCCATGGACCGATACCGGTCCTTGGTCTGTTAGGAACAGGGCCGCACAGCAGGGGGGGAATGGCAGGTGAGCGAGCAAAGCTTCATCTGTATTTATAGCCACTCCCCATTGCTCGCATTACCGCCTGAGCTCCACCTCCTGTCAGTATTATGGTGAGTTGTATAATTATTTCATTATATATTACAATGTAATAATAGAAATAAAGTGCACAGTAAATGTAATGCACTCGAATCATCCCGAAACCATGCCCCCACCCCACGTCCGTGGAAAAACTGTCTTCCACGAAACCAGTCCCTGATGCCGAAAAGGCTGGGGACCACTGCAGTAGAGGGATGAGAAAAGTACTGAAAAGGGAATTACGGAAATACCCCCACACCAAAAAAAAAATCATCTCCATCACAGCCATCAAAAAGCCGCCCTGAGGTAGGAAGAAAGACAAGCAGGATGCAGATCTGAGTGGGTGTGGCTGTAGGATGTTTGACTTGCCATCACTTGTATGGATAGCTCACATTATACAGGGGAAAAAAACCTAACTTTACAAAACTTTTTTTTTTTTCAAAGAAATCATGGGAAGTGTAAAACAACATAAGGCAGGAATATAGCCAAACATAGTAGGACTTATAGGTATAAATGGGTTAAACGCACCTGTTCGAAATAAAAGATGTCAAGATGGCACAAAAGGAAAATTTAAATCCCAGCTACATAACATTAGAAACACCTAAAAAAAGCAGCACAGGAAAGCTGAGATAAAGAGAAGGAAAAAGACCATACAAATGCTACTAAAAGGAAAGCAGGAACAGCAATCAAAACTGAATTAGGGGCTTCCCTGGTGGCGCAGTGGTTAAGAATCCACCTGCCAATGCAGGGAACACATTGCCACGGAGCAACTAAGCCTGTGTGCTGCAACTACTGAGCCTGCACTCTAGAGCCCATGAGCCACAACTACCGAGCCTGTGAGCCACAACTACTGAAGCCCGCGTGCCTAGAGCCCGTGCTCCGCAACAAGAGAAGCCACTGCAATGAGAAGCCCGCGCACCACAACGAAGAGTAGCCCCCGCTCGCCGCAACTAGAGAAAGCCAGGACGCAGCAACGAAGACCCAACGCAGCCAAAAATAAATAATTTATTTTTTTAAAAAAACTGAATTAAAGGCAAAAATAATTTTAAAGGACAAAAAAAGGATATCTCATAATAAAACAGGAAGACTTCACCAAGAAGTTCCAATAATCATGAAGTTTATGTCTCTAACAACATGGTTAGGAACTATATACAACAAAACAAAAAATAAAAATACAGTGAAAACATTGACAAAGCCATAATCACAGCCTCTGACTTAGAAATCAACAAGTCAAGTAGGAAATGGTAAGAACAGATAGAGAGGGATTGGGTAGCATAATTAACAAGTTTGATATATATAGAGAGAGAGAGAAAAAACTTTTTCTTTTCAAATGCAAATGAATTGTCTAATCTAGAATTTTGCCACAAAGGAAACTTCTACAAACTCCAAAAAGACAGACTTACAGGCAACATTCACTGTACACAATGAGAAGTAAATAACCAAAATATAGGATGCAAAAAAGCTCATCATAACTTTAAATAACCTTGGTTAATTGGAAAATAAAGATATAAATTACAAATTGTCAATAAAAGTATGGGAAACTGAGCTGTTTTAGTCAGTGCTTCTGGGAGGATGGACAAGAAGGCATGTCAGGGACCTTAAGGACAGCATAGTTTGTAGTAGTGAAAAATTAGAAATGGCTAGGTAGGAGAATATATAAATCATGGACATACACACTACGTGATCTTGTGCAGCAGTTTAAAAGAATAAGACCCATGTTCTGAGGTTAAATCATCACCAGCTTATACTGTTTAAGAAAATAACAAATCACACAAGATTTGTGGAGAACAGTACAAATCTATATATTTCTGTAAGTCCAAGCATGTATATAAATTTTTAGAATAAACTGGGAAAATACAGTCATCACACTGAGGGCTGCGCTGGGAGTGGGGGCCAAGAAGACGGCATGAGAGTCGTTGGCATCGTCTAGATTGTTTGAATTTTTATAATTTTATAATATTGTGCAATTGTAATAAAGTAAATATAATCTTGTGTAATTGAAAATAAATCAAATTAAAGCTGTGTATAGGGTTATGGAAAATTTTCACTCTTGTGCATCAATTCCCCTTTAACCAACTTTTCTGCTTTTCTCAAATAGCCACAGCCACGTAGGCAGCTCCATTCGGCCACACGGGAGACAAAGACTCTGACACAGAAAGGACAGAAAAGGGGTCTGACACCTAATCCCTTGAAGGTTTGACCTCTGTGGGTAAATAGCACTGACCGCGTTGAAAGACCCTCCCACGAAAAGCAGTGTGTGTCTTGCTTTGCTGAGCGGGGACTTCCCCAGGTTGGGTTGGGTTGGGCGCATACTCGGGTATGAACTGGACCATCCGCACTGGCCTTGGGATTAGCCTCTTGTCTTTAGTTGTAATTTGATTTTATGTGATTCAATCTGAGGTACTGAAACATAATATTTTCTTGGACAAGAGAAAAGAATTTCAAAACGTCTCAAGTCCAAGGACCCAGGTTTAAATTGGGTGAGCAAAACTAGGGCCTATGACCTGCAAACTAGATTTTTTTTTTAACATTTTAAATGGTATGTAAATATGTGCATAATCGCCTTAATTTTGCCTCTTGCCCACGAGGCGTAAAGAAAAGTTTGCCAGCTCATGATGAAAGTAGTGCCTCCTAAGTCTGATTTTACTCAAGTTGGTCAGTCAGGGTGTCACACCAAAAAAAAAAGAAACGAAGACCTCCCTTAGGAACTCGGGTTATTATTATTCTCTCTGAATTTCATTTGTAACCTGTCTAGCCCGATTGGCTCCTTGCTTCAATCTACAGAGGTGCTCGGGTCTCCCCATCCTTAAAGGATAAGCTTCCATGAGCCGCTGCTCCATTCTCCCTGCACCAACCCCTCGTACTCATCGCCTGATCCTTTAATCCCTTTCTGCTTGACGTTCACTTTTGTCAGTGAGTTTAAACCATGTTCTTAAAGTTATCTTTTTACCCTTAATTCGTGGCTGATTATATCCATTCCGAGCATAGCTTTGGATACCCCACTTCTAAGATTCTGCTTCCTTTACTTTTTGACAAAATGTCTACTTTTGGCTGACTCTTGGTTTCTTTTCCCATAAGTGGAAATTCTACCATTTTTCAAGATTCCACGATTGCAGGTCTTCTATCCTCCACACTAACGTCCTCACTGTGTTGTAGAATAACTTCTAGTCTTTTTTTTTTTTTTTTTTGCGGTACGCGGGCCTCTCACCGTTGTGGCCTCTCCCGTTGCAGAGCACAGGCTCCGGACGCGCAGGCTCAGCGGCCATGGCTCACGGGCCCAGCCGCTCCGCGGCACGTGGGATCTTCCCGGACCGGGGCACAAACCCGTGTCCCCTGCATCGGCAGGCGGACTCTCAACCACTGCGCCACCAGGGAAGCCCCCTTGCCTTATTTTGCACTCAGTCATACAACAGAAACCTATCACTGTATAATGTATGTACAGTTCCTTTGCACATTAATACTCCATCTTTTCAACCCAGTTGATTTTTCCAGGTAGACAAAGGCTAAGGATACACATATTGATTGCTGCTAAGCTCATTTTAAGTGTATTTTGTAATAAAGGGCATTTTTGAGACTGAAACAACCCTGCACTTGTCCAATGGGCAAGAAGTCTTGGGAATTACTCAGATTGAAACATACCAACGTTAAATTTATTTTTTAAATTTTATTTATTTATTGGCTGTGTTGGGTCTTCATTTCTGTGCATGGGCTTTCTCTAGTTGCGGCGAGCGGGGGCCACTCTTCATCGCGGTGCACGGGCCTCTCACTGTCGCGGCCTCTCTTGTTGCGGAGCACAAGCTCCAGACGTGCAGGCTCAGTAGTTGTGGCTCACAGACCTAGTTGCTCCGTGGCATGTGGGATCTTCCCAGACCAGGGCTTGAACCCGTGTCCGCTGCACTGGCAGGCAGATTCTCAACCACTGCGCCACCAGGGAAGCCCAGAAATGTACCAACATTAAAAGCTGGCTAGATTCATCTGTACCATTTTTCTAGGTTCCACATATATGTGCTAATATATGGTATTTGTTTTTCTCTTTCTGACTTACTTGTAGAGCAGGAATAGAGATGCAGACGTAGAGAATGGACGTGTGGACATGGGAGGGGGAGGGGGAGGGGGATGAATTGGGAGATTGGGATTGACATATATACAGTACCATGTGTAAAACAGATAGCTAGTGGGAAACTGTATAGTGCAGGGAGCTCAGCTCAGTGCCCTGTGATGACCTAGATGGGTGGGATTGGGGGGTGGTAGTGGGAGGGAGGTCCAAGAGGGAGGGGATATATGTATACATATAGCTGATTGACTTTGTTGTAAAGCAAAAACTAACACAACGTTGTAAAGCAACTATACCCCAATTTAAAAAAAAATTATACCAAAAAAAAACTGTCTAGATATAGAAAGGCATGGATGTTTCTTCAGCATAAAAAAATGTAGGCTCCATCCATCTACTGTCGTGTTCTAAGAAGGCATCATTTGGTGGACATTCATGCTGTCTTGGGGTTAACACACTTCTCACCTCAGTTGACCCTAAGTTTATACAAATGTTTGCCTCATTCCAGCAGATGTTTTGGTCTGAAATTTCCACTGGGCTTCAGCAATCCAGGGCAATCTCCGGAAGAGTAAAAATTTCGAAACCAGTTTATTTCTTCATCTCTGACTAATAATGTAGATGAAGAAGAAGCTGAATCCAAATCCAATACTGTAGTGCTCACCACTGGCCCCTTAGAGGGAGGAGCTTCATGTGATTATGCAAAAGTCAGAAGAGTCCACAGGCATCTGAAGGGAATATCTCTTGAAAGAAAATCCTCATGCTTCCTTGGTACCATCCGGAAGAGAGTGCTCTCAGATAGGTGGGTTGGTTTTGAGGCTTTTCTGTAATTTCTCTCAAGACTCATTTTTCTCTTATGTTCTTCTGAAATTGTCCTATGCCCTTAACTTCTAACATTTTTCTGGCCCCTATTTCCTCTTACATTTTTACTACCTCACTTTATGGGTTTCCCACAGTAATTTCAGCATGCCCTGTGTAAGAGAGAACATCTCCCCCGCCAGCATTTCTGCAAGTGTTCTCTGAAGGTGAGGAGGCCAGGCCCTGATGTCCCTGGGCCTGGGGCTAGCCTACCACCAGAGGCCCAGCTATGATCTCGTTGGGCTTTTTTAAATTAATTAATTAATTAAGTTTTGGCTGAACCACATGGCTTGCAGGATCTCAGTTCCCTAACCAGGGATTGAACCCTAGGCCACAGCAGTGAAAGTCCAGAATCCTAACCACTAGGACACCAGGGAACTCCCCTAGTCTTATTGTTTTAATCAGTAATTACTTTTTTAATTAATAAAGAGGGTGAAATTAATTAATTAAAGAATGTGCCTTCATAAAAAATTGAAGTTAAGGCAAAGTTTAAAATTTAAATTCTTCATCTGTTTCCAAAAGTTATTTTTCTTTTAAAGTACTCAAAATTATTAATATTAAAAGGCCAGGGACTTCCCTGGTGGTGCAGTGGTTGGGAATCTGCCTGCCAATGCAGGGGATTTGGGTTCAATCCCAGGTCTGGGAAGATCCCGCATGCTGTGGAGCAACTAAGCCTGTGTGCTGCAACTACTAAGCCCTCGCACCACAACTACTGAGCCCACACGCCTAGAGCCCGTGCTCCGCAACAAGAGAAGCCACAGCAATGAGAAGCCCGCGCACCACAACGAAGAGTAGCCCCCGCTCACCGCAACTAGAGAAAGCCCAGGCACAGCAACGAAGAGCCAACACAGACAAAAATAAAAAATAAATAAATAAATTTTACAGGCCAAATAAAATTCCAACTTATATAAATTTTTTGTTATTTAAATAAAACTTAATTTTTAATTTTGATTTTTGAAATTTCAATTAGTTATTAAATACTTTTTATAAAAAGACCATTCACAATTCTAGTATTCAGTGTCCATCAGTTAATGTAATGAATTGGTGTCACATGCCATGCGTGTTACATGTAGACATATGTACATAAAGTTAAAAGTCGTGTGAATTATTAGTATTACAAAATGTTGTCAGCCGCCATGTAAAACTGTTGGAAAGCTATGCCAATTCATGGGAACTTCTGGAACTGTCCATTGGAACACAGAGAAGCCAGAAAAGGGAAGCTCTGCTTTGGGAAATGATCATTGGTTATGCAAGGATCTATCCCACTCTTGTTTTCCAAGAGGAAGGATTTGACAAGTTAGTGAATTTGTCTTTTCCCTAAGCAAATCCTCCTCACCTCCAAAGCAGTATCTCTCTCTGATATTGTCCTCATCAGGATTCAGGCTCCTTTTGTTTCAGGCACTTTGGGCAGAGGAGATGTGGTCCCCCATGACTTGAAAGGTGTTAGTCATGAGAGTGGATGCTTAGGGCTCAGGTCACCATGTGCCAGCATGAGCACCAGATCCCAGTGAATACAGGGACTGTTGTGTGTTTATGAAATGCAGGGCCTGGGGCAGCAGGTCCCCTTGCCCATGTCTAAGTGCAGTACTAACATTGAGAATATCCGTACAATACTTGCAGAATACATCATTCTGAAATGCTCCGAGACAACTTGCCAGATTCTTGGAACTGTGATGAAATAAGTTAAACTCCTTTATCTAGTTTTAAAATTGCTTCTGTTGCCACATCTTCATATAGGTTGTTAGTTCTAAGATTTGGTTCCTGACACAAGGAAAGCAGAGCTGGATACCACCACAGCCATTCCCAGTGTATGAACCAGGCATGTGGTATCTGAAGCAAAGCTTCTGCTTCTCAGCCTTGACTGGGAGGTCAGGTTCAAGACCAGAGAGAAAGTGGAGGCTCTGCCCCCTTTTCCCATCCAGCTTTATCCTAAAGGCAGCTGATAACCTTTGGGTAGAGGTGCAGGTACTCTGAGGAAAGGAGTCCAATGCTTTTATTCTTTTGTTTTCAGCCACGCTGCGCAGCACGCGGGATCTTAGTTTCCTGACCAGGGATCAAACCCGAGACCCCTGCAGTAGAAGCACGGGGTCCTAACCACTGGACCGCCAGGGAAGTCCCCCCACAACGTTTTTATTCTTGACAAGGGAAGGATGAGATGAGACCTGGAGCCAAGAATCGTCAGGTACTGGCTTTAAGATGTGGGGTAAAAGGGAATCAAAATCTTAAGAACAAGCAAGGAGGCAAGCTCAGGAAGCTAGAAGGAGTCAGGAAATGCCCAGTGGTGCTGACTGGGGGTGGGAGGGAAGAAGAAGAACATTCAAAGGGAAAGCCTCCAGCACTCCTGGCCCTGGAGAAGGAAAATGGACTTGGGAGCACGTCTGTGGGATACTCCAGGCACTGAACTGAAGGTTTGCCTGCAGCTGAGCCTGAGTTCATGGGCACTGAGTACATTTAGACCAAAGGAGGGCTCAGTTACTCTTATTAGGGAGGAAAAAAGGAGGAGAAATATGTCAAAATAAGTTTGGGGAATTAAAAGTCAGGTGGGGGGCTTCCCTGGTGGCGCAGTGGTTGGGAGTCCGCCTGCCGATGCAAAGGACGCGGGTTCGTGCCCTGGTTCGGGAAGATCCCACATGCCGCGGAGCGGCTGGGCCCGTGAGCCGTGGCCGCTGGGCCTGCACGTCCAGAGCCTGTGCTCCGCAGCGGGAGAGGCCACAGCAGTGAGAGGCCCGTGTAACGCAAAAAAAAAAAAGTCAGGTGGGTTGTGAGGACTTCTGAAATTAGGAGATACACTTTTTTTTCTGGATGAGAGGAACTTTTGAGATAGCCAGGGACAGAAGGGAGAAGCAAGAAACCATGAAAAGTTTTGGTGGAATTACCTAATTTGGGGTAAGAGAGAAAGAATCTTTCCCATCTGCTATGGACTGAACGTTTGTGTTCATATATTGAAATCTTAACCCACAAAGTGGGTTAAAGTATTAGGAAGTGGGGCCTCTAGAAGGTGCTTTGAATGGGATTACTGCCCTTATCAAAGGACCCGGCTGAGACCCCTTGCCCCTCCAGCCACAAGAAGTTACAGTGAGAAGACGGCTGTCAATGAGGAAGCAGGTCCTCACCAGACACCGAATCTGATGCCATCATAATCTTGAACTTCCCAGCCTTCAGAACTGAGAAAGAAATGTTTGTTGTTTATAAGCCACCCAGTTGAGCCTGAACAGACTAAGGCATCACCCCTGCCCCAGCCTCCAGAACAGCTGAGGCCAGATGCTGAGAAAACGTATCTGCAGGATGGATGGCCAGATAGGAAGCACTGTTTGGGTAGTGTTTTTTCTTGAGAGAGGAGCCGCTTAGTAAATGTTTCTCCTTTCTTTTACGCACTGTCTTCATTCAAGTGGGGGCCACAGCTGGGAGTTGCTGGGGACACTAAAACATCATTTGGAAAATCAACCGGATAGGGATGATGGCATTTGCCAACACTCTTCTCAGGGGGTTTGGAGTTTGATAAACCACTTGGATGGAGGAGGTATGAGCCTTGTCTCAGTCACCTCAGTGGCCGCTGAGCCTGCGCGTCCGGAGCCTGTGCTCCGCAACGGGAGAGGCCACAACGGTGAGAGGCCCGCGTACCGTGAAAAAAAAATAGAGTGGATCTGTTCAACTGCAAATGGGGTCTTCAGAGTGGCATGCAGAAACCCAGTAACCAGTGGGCCTCCTCCACCAGTTCTACCTCCAAAATAATTCTTAATGCCTCTAGATCTTTCTACCTCTACTAGTACCTTAGTCCAATCGGAAGCATGATCTCTCTCTGGGAACAGTGTAGTCACCTCCTAATTGGCTTCCAGCTTCTACTTTCCCCAGTAATCCAAGCCATTTTCCATAGCAGCCTGAGACAGTCTTTTAAATGTAAGTTGGGTTATTATCACTCCTCTTCAATGATTTCTCTAGAACTATTCTGTCCAGTATGAGAGCCACTAGCCACATGTGGCTATTAAAATTAAAATTAAATAAAATTAAAAATTCAATTCCTCAGTTGTTTCAGGTGCTCATTAGTCGTGTTTGGCTAGTGGCTACCATATGGGGCCGTGTGGATATAGGGCATTTCAATGATTGCAGAAAGTTCTATAGGTCTCTGTGGCTCTAGAAGATGGAGCGGCTGCTTCCGCAGAAGAACAAGTGGCATCCAGGGCGCCTGGCCAAGCTCACTTTACTGGTCTCCAAGAACTTGTGGCTTTGAAGCAGTATGGAAACATTAATTTGGGGAGCTATTGCTCTTTTTTTTGGCATTTTCTCCTTTCTCTTCTCCCCACTTATGCAGGTTCTGTGTTCTGTGCCTCCCACAAGGCTGGTAGCAGCACTTTCCCGAATTTTGTCCCTGTTTTCAATGGACAAAAGGGGTTTGAAGGAAAGGAGAAACCTAAATCCAATGTGAAAAATAAGTCTTGAAGGGAATTGCCCCAAATGAATCTGCTCCAAATTAAAGAGGGATTTCTTCAGATTGGAAGAGGAAAGAGAGGCCCTCCATGCCCCACATGTGGCCTAGACTAGCACCCTGGAAATGTGTGCCAGAGGGAAAGGTATTCGGGACACCAAGGGGCTGGATGTTGGGCAGAGCCCTCTGGTCTCACAAAAGATGCTGAACCACAAGCAGGTTCCAGACACGGCAGAGGAGCCATCTGGAAGGAAGGGCCCGGGACCAGGAGAAGAGACATCCCTCGTGGAGGCAGGTGGTATGGCAGAGGACGGAGGCACTTTGACCCTGCGTGAGACCCCAGAGCCCAGACAGAGGTCCTGAGAAAGGAGCCCTGAACAAAGCTGGGTACCCGTCAATTTGTTGGGATGGGGCTCAGAGCTGACATCACACTGATTGATGGTATAGAGGGTGTAGGATGTGATTTTTCCCTTTTCCAGAACTGGAGCTAGAGTCCAGAGGTGCTCGAGGATCAGGGACCATACATCTCCGTCTCCCCAGACAGTCCTAGGTCATGTCTGCTGTCTCAGAATGATTTTTTTTTTTTTTTTTTTTGCTGTGGCCGGGGCTCACTGCTGTTTCCCCTCCCGTTGCAGAGCACAGGCTCCAGATGCGCAGGCTCAGCGGCCATGGTTCACGGGCCCAGCCACTCCGCGGCATGTGGGATCTTCCCGGACTGGGGCACGAACCCGCATCCCCTGCATCGGCAGGCGGACTCCCAACCACTGCGCCACCAGGGAAGCACTCAGAATGATTATTAATAGTGCCATCCTTCATTTTCAAAAGAGCCTTCCAATTTGGGCAATAAATAATAAGGTCACCATACCTAAGTATCTCATATTCTGAGTTCAGAAAACCCCCAGGGGTAGGGCCAGCCACCTTCCCCCGGGGCCTCAGAGAGGCACCAGTTCAGTAAACCACCTTCAAAATGAGGGGAGGCCACCCACCAGAGTGGAGGAAGGGGTGCTTTACCACCTCAAATCCAAGGCTGAGGATCCTACAAGGAAGGCGGCCTGGCATTTTGTTCCCAGTTGGACACCTTACTTAGCCAGTGGATTGTTGATTTTCCCCATAAAAGCAGGAGAAAAGAGACCCAGGAAACCATGGCACAATGGGGGAACCCCCAAGAGAGGGTCAGGACCACCCTGTCTTGAGTTCTTGGTTCCAAAAAGTTAAGGAAGATGGATCCTGCTTGTGCCCACAGGCCGGAGAGCTGGCACAGGAGGTAGATGAGATTGTGTTATACCATCTTTCTCTAGACTCTTTTCCCTTGAGGACAAAGAGGTGTGCACGGAGGAGGAATGCAAAGAGGCAGCAGTAAAATGCAGCCACTCTTGCAAGAGACCCCCAGGGCCCAGGAGGCAAGTCCCCTTGACAGCCAGCCGTCATTCATAACATGCACATAGAGAAGGAACACAAGGTCAAGGAGGGGAGAGACAGCACCTGCCCCGGCCTCCCCCTCCTTCATCCCCAACCCATAACCACCCCCAGCGCCAGAGGGAGAAGGGAAAAAGTCAAGAGAGACCCTGCGCTCTCCCTCGTACATGCGTGCACACACACACACGCCACAAACTGTTAGAGACACGAGACAGGCAGGGCCATTGCTGAGATTCGGGACACACGAGCCTCAAAATGGACATGAGACTGCAGGTTTTAAATGAACAGGGCTAAGTCTTAAGAACAAACCGAGGCTGTTCGATGAACCAAAAGTGACTGAATTTGTCACGTTGAACTGAGATCTACTACTGCCAAGGGAGCAGGAGAGGGCTTGGGTAGAGGGTAATTTGGAATGATTATTAGAAAACATCCCCGAACGCTGAGCCTCAGTGCACTGCTTCCCTCGTGCTCACCTGAGTCGGTGGACCAAGCTCCACACCCATCACCTGTCACTGGGCCACATCCTGGCAGCTTCAGCTGCCTGTGATCCTTGGGTACCCGGCTCTGTCCTCTCTCTGCTCTGGGGATTACATATGGCTTTTCAAAGGAAGCCCCCCCAAAGCAAACGAGCTGCTTCAACAAGATAACTTGAAAGGTTTTCTGAGAAGTCTTGTAGTGGTAAATGTCGAGCTGCTTGGGACCCTAGGGCTTTGTCAGCTTACCCCCTTATTTATGTCCAGGGAACCTGAGTCTGGAAAGGCCAAAGCCCCTGCTCTCATGACCAAGAGGTTGGGCTTAGATATCAGACTGCAGGGTACGGATGTCTGGTCCCCGATGTCTTAATTATACAGACCGAGGTAGCTTACTTGACCTCGCTAAGGTTTGATTTTCTTGACTGTCAAATGGAAATGATAATACCAACGCCCCCCTCGAAGGCTTGCTGTGAGGAATGAGATATACAACGCGTGTGAGCCCCAGCCAAGTACCTGGCAGACAGTAAGCCGTCCAACAAACCTTAGCTCTTATTGCCAGCTGGGACCGCAGGCTGGTCTCCTGGCTCCGCGTTCAATACCCTTGTCTCATAAAGTCAAATCAACTGCTAACGAGCAGGTCAGAAAGTAAAGTTGAAAAACTTCCGAAGTCCCACTTTTTCTCAAATTATGGCAACTCCTTTAGCCAAGAGTGGAATACCCTGACCCGCTCGGTTAGAGGTTAGCCATCAAGGCCACTGCCGCATCTGGCTGTGCAGCCAGCAGAAAATGCACAGGCCGTTCAAGCTCTTCGGCTTTTCCCACTCCAAGATGATCTGCATGACATTTGGGTCAATCAATTTAGAGATAATGATTCTTGCCGCAGAGCTGTGCATGTCCAATCACAAGAAATAGGGATCCCCAATTGATTTTTGTGGACTGGTTTCATTTTCTCAGAGAGCTTTTCAGGTCAAACATTGGCCAGAGCTAGGGTGCTGATAGGAGGTGGCATATTTCCATCTGCTTTTGCCCGGAAATGTCTGGCTATCATTGCGCTCTGTTGAATAAAATTGAAATCATCAAACCCTTTGAGGCATTGCAAGCAGGACTTTTAATCCAGGGGGATGGGGGAGGGACACAGAGCATCTGCCTGGAGGAGATATACACACACACATACATGTGTGGGACTTTTTTTCTTTTCCAGAATAAATTTCTCACAGCAACACAGTGAGATTCAAGAACCTGGAGGGGGCGCTCTTTTCCTGTAATGTGTTTCCACCTCCACGTGTGGACTTCATTCATAGCATCTTTAAAATTAAAGTATAAGGAAGCCTAAATGATAGTTAAAGGGGTAATTAAAAATAGGCAAATGGCTTTATTTCTCTCCTAAACTGGTTGATTTATGCCTTGTTGTGTTTTTTTGAGAACACAAAGCTATTAATTTATGTGTGCAAAGAACAGTGAATGAATCCTAACGAGCCCTGCAGCCTTTAAAGACCTGAATCATATGTTGAGCTCGTTTAAAACTTGCATAGGAAATTAAGGGAGAATAAAGCCCTTTAATTTGAAAAGTGTATCTATAGTTGCCGTCCCTAGGATATCTGCAGGGTCATTATTCAGAAAGATTAAGGAGGACTTTATTTTTTTATATGCGCTATGTATTTCCCAGTTCCAGCTCACCATGGTGCATTTCAACTTATAAAGAGAAGGAGATAACATGGGGGGAGGGGAGCTTTTTATTCACTTCCCACTTAATTTCCTTGCCGCCAGGCCAGTCCCAGCTTAATGAATGTAATTGCTACCTTTGATGAAAATACTATTATCAAGATCACACATTACATTGGAAAACAGTTTTTCTTTAAACACAGCTACTGCAGTCTCTAATTATGCATGTAACAAGTGTCTCCTGAACAAAAGAGCATGTTGTCTACAATTGGTAGGAATTGGAGCAAGGCAAATTCGAACAAAGGACAGATTAGATTTGCTCCCCGCTCCACAAAGCCCATCCCTCTGATTAATTTCCTGCAAAAACTAAAACAATTCTCTTAAAAGGCGCTCACCCCCTTCTCCAGAATGATCCATATGCCATTTGGGTCTTTCTATAGGGTGATAATGGCCCCTGATTTGAACTCGTGTTAGAAAATAAGAAAGGGCTTTTATGAACTTCCTCTTTCTAATGTAAATGAGCGACACAGGATCTTGAGGGATAATGAGCCCCCCAAAAAGTGACTTTTCAGTGGCTATAAAAGAGCTCACTGGTAGGGGAAAGTCTGCATTGAGCATGTTCAACCCAATTATTTTATTAGTTTCAAGAAATGAGGCATCTTTGAGAAAATACTTCCCATGCCTGAAACTGAGAGACACCAGCTTTTTCGGGGTTGAATTCCTAAAAGACGGAGAGTTTCTTGACTTACGCACAGAATTTTCAAAATGGATTCATGAGTAAACATAAAGTACCCTTGTTAGTTTCATTATGGCACTTTGCTCTTGATTTTGGAGGCTGCATTTGGCAAGTGTTCTTCCCTTATCAAATGTGGGACAGGTGCTAGATTATCCTATAACAAGTCAATTCTACACCCCCCAGCATTATTCAAACCCAGAAGAAAAAAGCCAAGTTAGTTTCCAACACAGTATTAGTTATGAGTATGAGGTCTAGAGTCAGACTTCCTGGATTCAAATCTCAACTCGCAATTTATCATCTGTATGATCTGGAAAAAAAAAATCAGCTTTCTACATCTTTATTTTCTTAACTGTGAAGTGGGGGTAGCACTTAAAGGGTAGTGAGAATTAAGTAAGATAATACTTGTGAAATGTTTGCATCAATACCTGGCACATAGTGAGCACTCAACACATTTTACTTATTACTATTATTATTTATTATTTGACTTGGAAGACCACAGGTGTTTAATGAAATGGATGTCCCTAAATATTGCTCACCACTTCCTTGGGTCCTGCAGCCTGGTGCCCCCAGGGAAAATGGCAGGAAAGTGGCGTCTCAGATTGAATCCTATGCTCTGTCCAGGGATGAGAAGGCTGCCGGAAACCATATTAAGGAGGGTATGGTTAAATCTGGAGCTCTTTTTGATAGAGTTGGCTGGTCCTTTTCAGAGGCTCACGTACCCTACCAGGATGAGTCCCAGATGTGGTCCAGGAGGAACCAGCAGAGACCAGGAAGATGAAGCATGTTGCCTCCACTACTCTTTGTGGAGAAGGATCTGGATACATAAAATGAGGAGCACCACACATGGGTCCTTGTTATCCTAGGATTCAGTACCTGAGTCCCCCAGTCACGTAGCTTCTTTAGGGCAGTTAGAGACATCATGACACGGTGTTCACTGAAAAACTGACCATCTATAAATGTGGTGCCCACCCAACACCCCCTTCTGCTAAACTCTGGTGTCCATCTTTGCCCACCTACGCAAAACCCAAATAAATTGATTGCAAGGTGAAAATGCAAATTGTGCCAAAGTTACCGGATTTCATGAAGGGAAAACGATGCTGAGGAAGCATTCAAATTCTATGCAAAGCCATTGATAAATGAGGATCTGGCCATTCTCGATTTGAAGAAAGAAAAGGGCAAAGGTGATGACACAGCAGACACTCAAAAGGGAATGATTTGACTGCCATGGATTAACGAACACCTCTGTGAAAAGGCATGAAGCCTTTGGATAATTTTGCAAAAATGACACCTGGTAAGACCATGCTGTGAAAATCAAGCACAAAGAATGGCTACAGAGTGAGCCATGCCACAATTTTTGGCTGAAAAATTTACACCCTCCAAATCAACATTTGATTCATTCTTTGCTCAAAGATTATGGATGGAATTATAGCCGTAGCTTAAAACACAAGATAAATTAATTTTAATAAATTGTAATACAATTTATAAGTTTTAAGACAAATTTAAGATTTAAGACAAATTCCACATCAAGTCTTTTTAGTTTTCACCATTTACTAAGAAAGGAGATCCCTGTTTAACACAGATCCATTTAAAGTGGGCCTTTTCCAGCACCAATTTTCCTAGGATGAACGGACTTTGTATACCCCAGGTGAGGTCTCAGGATCCCCAGGACAAAAGGTGTACATTCTTTATGTTAGGGGTTCAGAGCTGCAGAGATGCATCACTTACATACCTTTGCACAGAGTGAGTGAGGGACACACACACACACGCGCACACACACACACACACACACACACACACACACACACACGCAGGAAGGAGTCATTTTCCCGGAGCTTTCACCTCCAGGTTCCAGATGGAGCCAGCCACTGCAGGTCTCTGTTATCTAGGTAGGGAGGGCTTTCCCAGTATGGGTGCCTTCCCCATGGCAAAGGACCGTTGGTTGTTGGAAAGAAATGGTCCCGGGAGGACTGGACTCAAGCTCAAAGTACTGGGGCTCCAGGACTGGGACACAAGAGGGATTGAATGGCAGACAAGGAGGCAGCCCCTGGTTTGGCCCCAGGCACGTCCCAGAATCTGAGAACCGAGCTCTGCACATCTCAGACAGCACTCTGGCCCTACCCTCATCCACCACCCCATGAGCAAGGAGAGGGGCCACCTCGGGTCTGAGAGCCAGCGCAGAGTCCAGAAATGCCCGCTAGCCACAGCAGGAATTCTGTTCTAAGAGCCTTTTGGCCCTGGCAGCAGCCCGCCTGCTTCTTGGTCCAGGCCACAGCCCTGGGAGGGAGGCCCCATGGGCAGAGAAGCAGAAGTGGAGGTGCTGGGACTGCCCCAAGGGCACCCGTTCACTGCTGGGACCCCAGGCAGTCTGAGTGCTGGCGGAGGGCTCCCTCCAGGGCCCGCACATCCATCACTCACCCCCTCCTCCTGCCGCCTGCATCTCTGGAAATTGGCTGGAGCGATCACCCTGAGGATCCTCGACAGGGGGACAGCATTAAAGACAAGTGAGCTTTGAGGCAGCATCTCTGTCTGTTGATGGCGGCGCAAATAATCGGCCATTTCCTGGTCCACTGGTTAGCGGAATTAGCATACTGTGCGCGGGACAGCCTCCATCTGCCTCCTGCGCTCTTCATTACTGGCGGCAAGGTGGAATCGGCAGCTAACCTTTGAGTCCATGAAGGGTAATGCCCCCCACTCCTGAGAGGACACTCTCACCTAGGGCGGCCCCGTCACGGGACCCTGGAACATCGTCACCGGGCCATCCGGACCACATCCGCGTCTGGTGGAGCTGGCGTTTACGGAAGGCTTGGGGTTAAGGTGGACCCCAAGGGGAGCTCTGGGTTTGGAGTCGGGAGGCCCGGCCTCTCTCTGGCCTCATCAGTGACTCACGGGTTATCCAGGCAGGTACTAAAGGTCCTCTAAGCCCCAGCTCCTGGGCTGCCCTCCCAGGAAGGCTTTTCCAACCCTGTCCTCACTTTCTCCAGAGCCTGGGGGAAGCAGCCACTCCCCCACCCCCAAGATCCGTGATGGCTCCCCCACCCCCACCCCCACCCCACCCCACCCCACCCCCCCCCCGTCTGCTAACTGGATACTCTGGCCCTGCCAGGCTTCAGCCCCAAATCTGCTCAGCCTCTCCCCTTTCCTCAGCAGGTGTAACTGGCCGTGGCTTCATCCCTGTGTTTGCTTGTGGCTACAGACTGGATTGGAGGGCAGAGACCCCGGGGGAAGGAAGAGGGACAGTTTGGGAGAGGGGTCCTTTCTGTGCCTCTGTAACAGGGTCCCTGAGAGACCTTGGCCATCTGCCAGGAGCCCCCTCCTAGGTCAGCTGTGGCCATATCCTCTAAGGTGGCTGGTGCTTGTGGACGGCTGCTAAGCTGAGCTACCTGGGGCTTACAGCCTAGGAGGGCTGAGGTCTGTGAACAGGGGATTGGACCACTGCCGGAATGCCCCAAACAATTGGTTGCAAGGTGTCATCTATAACTTTCGCTGAGTATAATTTCTGTTGTTGATTGCACAGGAAGGCTCCGTGTAGAACTGGAAGGCCAGGGGACTGGGGTCCAGCAGTGCTGGACTGGACCAGGCTGTGGAATGTGACCTCTGGCGAGGTTTTCCCCTCTCTGGGACTCAGTTTATTCATCAGTTAAATGGGCGGTTGGACCAGATAGTGGCTGAGACCTTCCAGCCTTGACCTGGAGGATCCCAGAAACACTGGCTGCAGTGGAAAAATTGCCAACTCAGGGCCCTTCCAGCTTTGTTTTGCGAAGTGTTAAGTTTTGGGCAGAGGAAGCTGGACCATGAGATTCAAATGCCCTGACTCAATCATCTCCTTCTGGAATGGGCTCAGGGCATGACTGCATAACCAGAGGCAGGGAAATGCCATCTGGCTCCCAAGTAGTGCTCTGTCCACCCTGTAGGGACCCCGAAGCCTCCCTCGATCTGGCTTGCTCCCCACAGAGAGGAGAGGAGGGGCTGGGGCCAGTCATGAGTGGGGTGGCCTCATCTGTGTGATCAGCTTCATTCACTCGTCCATCCATTATGGCTGCATTCACACGTCACATGCTTAGTGAGCTCCTATTTATCCCTCAAGACCCCACTCTGTTGTTGGCCTGCCCTTCCCCTTCTCCTTCTCTTCCTGTCCCTGTAACACCATCATCACACAATCCTACCTCTATGCTGGCACGTGGAAGACTTCATCAATGGGCACTGAGTCCATAGGCCCCTGCAGGGCGGGCCCTCTCTTCCCTAGCACATGGCACAGAAGGTTCTTAACCAAAGTTTGCTGAATGAATGAAGTGAAATGAGCAGGTGTGTTGATGAGGACATTCCGGGATGAGGGACAGTGTGGACAAAGACCAGAGGTGGGAAACAGCCCAGTGTTCAGGGAATAATCAGTATGGGCAAGTGTGGGAGAAGGGAGAACCCATGCCCCCTTTTTCTTACTCATCTCACTGGTACTTGGGTATTTGTCTTAATATTCGTTTTACGCACTGGACTGTGAATCCCATGTGCCAATCTGACTGTTTTCACAGGGCTTTGCCCAAGACTGAGCACATAATAGTCACTTATATAGATGCTCATTAAATTAATTAATTAGATAAAATGGGAGGTCTAAATGGACAGTCCAGTACTTATATGGCAGGTCCACAAGCACCAGAGACCCAGGCCCATTACAGGATTGCCATACAAAATGCAGGATGCCCAGTTAAATTTGAATTTCAGATGAACAATAAGTAATTTTAAAATTATAAGTATGTCCCCAATTTTGCATGAAACATACTAAACCAATCGTTCATTTTTATCTGAAATTGAAATTAAACTGGTGGTTTCTTTGCTTTTTTTTGGTTTTGGTTTTTCGTATCTCATTTTGTTAGTTTGGTTTTTGTTTGTGTTTGCTAATCTGGCAACCTACCCTTCCCTCTTTCCACTTTGCCATACTCATCCCTGGCTTGTAATCTCATGATGGCTTCAGAGTCACAAGATGGCTGCTGGGGCTCCAGCCTTCATGTTTGTGATTTAGGAAAGCAGAAGGATAAAGCACGGAGGGACAAAGGACACCTGTCTCCCATTTGAGTCAGCTTCTTTTAAAGAGATTTCCTAACTTGAATTATGGGCTGGTTAATACATGAGTAAAAAAGAAGCAAACATGGTAAAATGTTAACAACTATTAAATCTGGGTGATGGGTGTATATGGGTGTCCATTACCCTGGTCTACCTTTTTTTTCATGCCTGAAGATTTTCTTAATAAAAAGTTTGTTTCTTTTAAAGGAAAGACTTCCTACAATCCTTGCCCAATAACTTTTGCCTTCTTCTCATTGGCCAGCCCTCGCAGAAAGGAAATCTGGGAAATGTAGTCTTTGAACTGGGTGAACTGATACCTGGATATAATCCAGGTTCTATCAATAAGGAATAAGGGGAGAAGGGATGTCAGGCAGGAACTTGTAGCCTCTGCCCAGGGCACGATTCCTCAGCTTTCTCTGCACAGCACACAGAGAAGCAGGGGCTGCAGTGCCCAAATCTATGCTTTGGCTTCCTGTTGAAACCAGCCTCTCCGGGTCTCACTCAACCTTCTGATGGGACTTTCCACCCTTGGAATGGTGACTAAGTCACAGCAACCCCTCACCCAAGGGCAGGTATGGAGAGGAGCCCTGCTGAAGCCCAGACCTGTGCATTCTGCAGCTTATCCCCCTGAGTGGTCTTTGCCAGGGTGCTGAACCCCAGGGACCCCTGAGGCTGCCTCTCTAAAGAACATGCAGCCCAGCTCCTTCCTTCCCTCACTGGGAGGCGCTTACATTTCCCAAGGTAATGAGCCCACAGAGGGTGTATCCATCCCTTGTGGAAGGAAAATGCTTGAGCAGAAAGCCACATTCTGAGCTGTTGTCCCAGGTAAGACAGCTGGGCAGTCCCCAGCTGTCAACTAACCAGGAACTAACAGTACCAGGGGTGCTGCTCAGGGTATATCACAAGCCCTCGAAGCCATGGATAGACACGTGCTGTGCCGCCCTCTGCATGCTTGGAGCGTAGTAGGCCTGCTGTGAAGATTTGGGGCGGGGAGGGGAGG